TATTTTTCTGATGGGGATAATAGATGACGGCTAGTTACTGGCATTTGTGTTTCTCTATCTTTATTTCAAAATTGGTGAGCTTTTTGGGTTCATTCTTTCTTTTAGATAAAAATCTTGAAATAGTATCAATGGTACTGGTGCAAAAGTGAAGATTTGAATGTGTTTCATTAATTAATTAATTAACTTTTCAGAAGTTAATTTCAGTTAACTTTGATCAATCTAATGAAAGTTGTCTTTACAGATCAAGAAAGATTAAATGGTTTTAAACTAAGATTAAGTTCTAATGGTAGGTGTAATTATAATGGATATCAACAATCTACAGTTTGTTATAAAGATACTAGTACAACAAAACGAGATATCTACAATATAAATAGTTGTAATCAATCACAAAATATACAGTTTAATGGTAGTATAGTATATATTAGTGTAGAAAATCCCGACCAAGCAGGAGACAAATACCTCGCACTCTGTGAAGTAGAAATATTTGAAAGTGAGTGTTTTTGTTATACGTATTTAATCTGCATGGATATGTGCATATGTTCCACCGTAAATACAGTAAACATTAGTCTTTGCCATAATTTAACTGTTTATACTTATATACCTCTAAGGCATCTTGTTAAAAAGAGACAAACAAGAAAGGCAAAACTATCAAGATTTACTATCTAAAAAACCTCTTAAACGAAACGGAAAGGATTCTTAACTCCTCAATATGTGATTCAATTATGTATTTTATTACTCTCTAGAATGTGGAAGTAATTGTAAAGATGGCTGTGATTCTAGTGGTAATTGTAACAATTGTAAGTCTGGTTACCATGGTAATAAATGTGATACACCATGTCCTACTAATTGTAAAGGTGGTTGTATCCAGAATAGTGGTAATTGTAACAATTGTAAGTCTGGTTACCATGGTAATAAATGTGATACACCATGTCCTACTAATTGTAATGGTGGTTGTATCCAGAATAATGGTGATTGTGAAGCTTGTAATGATGGTTATTGGGGTATAAAATGTGAGAAACAATGTCCTACAAACTGTAGACTGTCTAAATGTGATAAGAACAATGGATATTGTAGTGAATGTAAGAATTATTACTGGGGAGATAAATGTGAAGAGCGATGTTCAGTTAACTGTATAGATCATCCCTCTATTACTTGTTATAAAACTAGTGGTAAATGTAACTCTGGTTGTAAAGATACATGGTATGGTGATACATGTAATAATACCTGTCTAGATAACTGTATTAGTTGTAATAATAATCAATGTACAAGTTGTAAGACAGGATGGTATGGTAATCAATGTAAAACTAGATGTAATAGTAATTGTATCAATGGATGTGATCAAGCTACAGGAAGATGTACAAGTTGTAAAGCGGGATATTATGGAAACAAATGTACCGAACAGTGTATTAACAGTTGTCCTGGTGATTGTGAAGAGGATTCTGGACATTGTAAATCATGTAAATCAGGAACATTTGGTAATTATTGTAATGAAACATGTAGTACAGGATGTTTACCTGGTAAATCAACCTGTGATAGAGATGGTAGATGTACTGTAGGATGTATTAATGGTAGATATGGTAATAATTGTGATGGTGAATGTAGTACAGGTTGTAATAATGGTACATGTAATAGAAATGATGGTAGTTGTATATATGGTTGTATTTCTGGTAAATCAGGACCTACATGTACTAATGATTGTAGTAAAAACTGTATTATATGTAGTCAGAATGAATATAAGAAATGTACTCAATGTCACGATGGATATTATGGACAGTCATGTAAACAACCATGTAATAAAACATGTCAATCACAAGACAATAATCCAGTATGTAATATAACTAATGGTTATTGTACTATTGGATGTATTAAGGGTTATTATGATGATGTTTGTAACAAGAACTGTAGTAGTAACTGTTTTAAGAAGACATGTCTCCAGACTAATGGTTCATGTACCGATGGTTGTGTTTCTGGTAAAATTGGTGATAAATGTGCTGAAGGTAGATAGAGATTACTGTTTAGTAATATGATCTGTAGGGACTAAACTTTGAAATTACAACCGTTCAAGACGCGTTAGTTATTGTATGTACTGTATGTAAGGCATCGTTTGTGCAGTTAGGAATACTATGATTTTATGAATAGATATAAAATATATTTGATATTTGAATAGTTTTGTGATTGAATTTTAAATTTTCTGTTGATCATTACTATATATCACCCCTAGTCTATTTACAATACATTAAATTATAAAATATTCCATTTCACTGAATGTTTTCCAGATTGTCCCAATGGAACATATGGATTAAGATGTAGCTCTACCTGTGGTAATTGTTATAACCAAACTATCTGTCATATCGTAACTGGTGCTTGTGATCTAGAGCTGGGCTGTGAAGCTGGTTTTCAAGGACCAACTTGTAAAGAAGGTAATAACCTATATTTCCTGAAATTACTTTTTAACAGAATGAAAGAATCTGTCTTATTTTGTGTTTTAACGGTGACGCATGTATAGAGAAAGCACTGAGGTACAAAACTTAATCACCAGTATTCTTTTTGGAGTGCATCTATGGTAAATTAAAATCATATTTTGGATAATGTAAAATTTTAGCTGAGGAGGACACTTTGCATTTCTACCCAAGGAGCATAAAACTATACTCCAAGTTTCCATCCCTCTGAAGAAATTCATTTTTCCTTGGTCGTTTTCTACATATTTTAAAATGGCAATATGATTTGAATGAAGTCGTGATATACTGTGATATAGAGAGTAATATAATTTATATTACAGTAGTTGAGAAAGCAGACAATAGTATCACGATTATATCAGCTGTAACTGTTACTTTGGTAGTAGTTATTGTAGTTGTCATCGGTCTAGTAATAATTATAAGACGGTAAATATTCGTTGTTGGGATCTTGTTGACTTTTCCTTTTCATGTTTTTTATGCC